ATGCCCAGTTCCCCCTGGATGAGCTCAAGATTGACCCTCTGACCTTGGATGGGCTACACATGCTCAATGACCCCGACATGGTCCTGGCTGACCCAGCAACTGAGGACACCTTCCGGATGGACCGCCTCTGAGCAGCCGCTGCCACCGCCGCCACCGTGGTCAGTGGTCCCCACAGCGCCGCCATGCACCGGCCGAGCTTGTGATTCTGAGCTTGCGATGCTGCAAAGCGCCCCTACCCGTCCACCCGCCTCCTGGTTGTAACCCGCCTACTTGTCCCAGCGAGAGGCCACGGGCCGGGCTGGGTGGGGGTCGGAGATCTGAGCCCCCCCACTCATGGCCATGCCCTGCCCGCTCGCCTGGGCCATCAGCTCGGGACTGTGTGGGGGTCGGAGGCCTGAGCCCCCTGCCTGATGCCCTCCCCTGCGCGTTCTCGCTCCCCTGTCCTGCCTGGGATGCGAGCAGGCCCCTGTAAGATACCAAGAGCATGTGACGGGGTCGCTGGCCTGCAGGGCGTACTGAGGTGCATCTTCCGACTGTTGTCCAGCTCTCACTGCCTTCCTCCGCCCCGCCCTCCGCCATCCCGGCCGCCACCCCAGGGAGCCGGCGCCAGAGAGGGGCCCGGACCCAAAGCAAAATAAACACTATTTTGACCGCTGTCTTTTATATTTCTGAGCACACGCAAGACGCTGGGCTCCACGCGGTGGAGGCATGATGCTGACAGAGCAACCCCAGCAGCAGCGGCCGAGCCCCTCCCCAAGCTCCCCAGCCTCGGTCGCTCCCGGTCCACGTTCACCTCCGCTGCGTGAAACTCCTGCCCAAGAATGGAGGACCGTTTGCTGCTGTTCAGGGAGGCAGAGAGGATTGGGGGATTTCAACAGCTTTCAATCTTTCATTATCTGCCCTCGGTCGCCCTCATTAACGATTTCATCTTGCTCTTTAAGAAATCCAGGCCGGAACAGCCAGGGCATTTCTGTCTTGACGTTTTTCTTTCCCTTTTGGTTCATATTTATATTTTACTCATAGACAAGTATCGAACACTTCCGGCCGACCCTTGGCTGCCAGCATGTTTAACCCTCAAACCCCTTGTGTATATTTTTACTGTTAACTGGAAGTGGGTACACGCTGAGTTGTCAAAAATTTAGGGTCTGCGCCACCTTCAGCTGCCAGCACAGCGAGCCCCTGGGGAGGGGCCAGTTTTGACTGAGGGTCTGCAAGGACCAGGTGGCACTCCCTGCTTCAGGCATTTCTACCACTATCCCCTGAGAACCCAGAGCCAAACTGGTATCCCATTCTAGAAGATTCTTAGGGTTTCTAGAAATGCTCCCCGTGACTGGTGGGGACCTGGGCCATCTCTGACCCTTTGCACTACAGACCCTTACGGGTGTGTGTGTATTGGGGGGTGGGCTCTGCAGGGTGGCCTTGTTTTCTGCAGGTTCTTTGGAACTTGAACCTGTCCCACCCTTAAGTCCCATCCAGATGTGCTCGCCTCCACCTGCCCCTTCTTCTGAGCTTGTCCTGCTTGGGAGGCTTCCTTTGCTCTGTCCAGGAGAGTGGACTTGACCCAGCTCCTGTACCTCCTTCCCCACATGGTATAACCATTCCTCACTCTCAGCCCCAGTGGCACTGTTGGGCGGTCACCATGATTTGTCACTCTCTGAAAGTCCCCTTCTGTACCCCTACACCCCTTCTGTACCTCCACCATTCTGGAGGGCAGCATGTGTCAAGGGTTGGGATGAGAGATGGTGACATTTTTGAAAGAGAATCTACATGTAACCTGCACTTAGCAGTTTGATGATGATGATGTGTTCCTATGTGGAACTCGTAAAACAACAAACGGCCTTAACACAGCCATCTGCATCTGCCTGGCTCCCCGGCTCAGAGGTGCCCGGTGGAGGGAGTGTTGATCTTGAGGACCTGCATCCTGTGTGCCCAAATTGTGTTAACTGAAGGCCCAGCTCTGTCTTTATGTTGCTTTTCCATTGAGGAAGTGACTAATGTCATGTGGACCTTCCCAGGGACAGGGATTTGAGGCCAGCTGGGTGACAGTGTTGGGGTCCCTGTCTCAAAGGGACTGTGCCCTCCTGGACCTGGATGGTCCTCTGGGATGTACAGTGGAATTTTTTTAGTGTTAACCACTGTTAAATATTAAGTTGCCAAGACTTTTTGACATAAAACAGCAGACGGGAACCAATTCTTTGAATAGTGTGAAAACACTGTGGTTTCTGACTCGCCGTGTGGGGCTGGGGGTGGGTATGGGTGAGGAGGTGTTGGCAGAGGGTTCCTGCAATCATGTAAATAGGTCTGGCACCTTTGTCCTTTTGCTTGGAGTAGGCCTGGACACTTGCCCCCAACCTTGCCAAGTTCCCCAGGACAGTAGCTGGCTGAAAGCTGCTCTCATGTCACTGCCTCAGTTTCCCCTCCAGTCTTGGCTATGCAGGGGCAGTGGACTTGCTCCTCCATGCAGCACTTGGGCTAAGCTCCCCTCCATGTGTCCAGAAGAGGGGTTTGTGCCCTTGTCTGATTTCTGAGGAACTGTCATCTTGGAGGCACGGCAAGGGCCTCATCAGGGTGGAGTCCCCACCTCACAGATAGCAGGCAAACCCAGGCTGAGACACCCACTCTCTGCCCAGCTCTTACAAACAGGGACAGGCCAGTGTTGGGTGGCGGCACCTAGTCAGCCCCCTCTTGCCTTCCTCACCCGCTCAGTCCTATTCCTGAGGCCCTCCTGGGAGTGCAGTGCCAGCCCCTCAGGATGGTGGGTTCAGAGACCCCTCAGGAAAGGCTCAGGGCTTTGTTGACACTTGAGCAGAATTCAGAAGTTCTATAGCTGGCAGTACCCAGAAACTGGCCAGCTGCCCAGAGAGACTGTGTCCATCATGGGGACACTTGATGGGTGGGTCCTTCTGTGGGGTTCAGAGGTCCCAGACAAGACCATGGAAAAACACATGTGGAGGACCTTTATCCCAATAGACTCTTCTGTGTGAATGAACCTCTGTCTCCCTTTGATACTGGGGTGCAGTGGAAAAGGGGAGTCCTGTGCCAGTGAGGGGGAGTCTAATATCTGTATTTCTGGCTTGATTCAGAGGGCACCATGCTCCCAGGCTAACCATCCCAAGGCCAGATGTGTGTCAAATAATGTAAGGCCCTGTGCAGAGGGTGAGAGGCCCCATGTGTGTCTGCCCATCTGTCCTGCTGTGGGGACAAACCTCGGTCTGGGACTGTACCTGGCACTGGCTAGGGCAGAGTGGGGCAGGTGCTGGTGAGAGGATACCCCGCTATCCAGTGTTTGGGGCCTGATGAACACTTCAGTATGACCCTTGGGGAATCCAGAGGCTCCAAGGAAGCAGGAGAGTAGTCCCCACTCTGCTCCTCCATGTCACTTGTGACCAAACAATCTATGCACCTGCTCTGTCCGAATCAAGAGTCCTGTTCTGTGTTCCCAAAGGCTATCTTGGCACTCCAGCCTTGGTACAGGCTGAGCAGAGGGAGTAATGCCTGGCAGTATTGGGAAGCCCTGTCCCTGGTTACCCTCACCAGGTCTAGCAGAGCTGATAGAGAATGCAAGGGCACCCTCTGCAGGAACCAAGGTATTGGGGGACCGGGGTGCAGGAGCTAGGATATGGAGTGGGATCTTAAGTGCATGATTCAGGACTGAGGGACTGAGATGCAGGAGGACCCTCAGTGTGGAGGCCAGGATGTGGGGTTCTGGGGTGCAAGAGCCAATATGCAGGGGGGACCTCAGTGTGGTGATTAAGACATGGCATTCTTACCTTAGGGCAACAAATCAGCACTAAGGTCACTGGTCATTCCTCTGGGTGGCACAGTCAGGGAACTGAGGCCCACCAGGGGTGAATGGGAAGCTGGGTGCAATTACACTCCCATTTCTCTCTGAATCCTCTTATCTCTGGGGGACTTGAAGGGGGTCGTGTGGTCCCTGGTATCTTCCTATGGAAACCTGGCCTGACCCGCAATGATGGTCAGGAGGGATGAGGAGGGGCCCCCACAACCTTAGGGCTGCCAGGAAGCCTCACCCCAGCACTGGCTAGGATCGCTGTTCCAATCATAGCCCTCCAAGAACAGAGAGGTGGGATGACCTGCACTCGCAGGACTGCCCCTTGGTGCCTGGGCCCACCCACTTTGGAGGGCATGTAGGGAACAGATCCAAGCCTCTGTCAGCAGCTCAGACCCTCTGGTGGGGAGCAGGGACCAAAGTTGGGGTGACCACTCCAGAAGGCTCCCTGCTTCTTGGAAACCCTATACAAGGTCGCTAGACTCCAAGGCACTTAAAATGCTCAGCTTCACTCACCCAGCACCCTGACCTGGACGTCACCGCCCGCGTTCCACCCCCACCACCACCACCTTGGTAGGAACTCCCAGGGGCCGGGTGCCCCGCTGATATATGCAAACCCCCCACCCCCCAGCATGTACTCTGGCGGCGGGGCTGGCTGGCCGGCCGCCCTCCTCCCTTGGCGCGGACGCTTCTGTCTTTGTATCTTTGCATCTTTGTAATGAAATGTAATAAAACTCGGATGTTTTCGTCTCTGCCTCATCCTTCCTTCCAGCCCCTCTCCGCTCCCTCTGGTTGAGCCAGAGATCTCCCCGGGGACCACCCATGGACGTGCGTGAGAACATAGCAACGCCACAAACTCCTCACAGCCCAGACACGGGTACTCAGGGCCAGCGTCTGGCCAAGGGCGAAGCCTCAAACTTTCAGCCCCGAGATGCCCATTCCATATACCCTTGGAGTAAGAAGCGCAGGCCTAGGGACCTTCTGAAATCGGTTCTGGAAGTGCAGGGTCCCCAGCAGAATGCTGGAATGTGGGCTTCCGGTGTGGGGACTGGGCGCATGGGAAGCCCGGCCCAGTCCTCACCGCAGACAGACAGGAGCACCGTTCTCCCCCCAACACACACCGTTTTATTTAGTCCTCTCGCAGTCCCTCTCCCCTCCCCCCCAAAATGGGGAGCAACCCCGTCCATCGGCGAGTCCCCACGCCAGGACCCTAGGCGCTCCTCAGTCGTTGGGCCTCGTAGTCCTCTGGGATGGTGTCTGTAGTGAGGGGGAAGGGGCGTGGCGTTGAGTGGGGAACACCCGGCCCGCGCCCCACCGCCCCGCCCCGCCCCGCCCCGAATAGTTCTCTAGTCTCCAGCGCTCACCGTTACAGCGGTACCGTAAGTTTGCCCAGATGATGTTTTCCTGGGAGAAGCAGAAAACTCCCAAGCGGCCGCCCCTCATAGTAGTATCCAATACCACGTTGCTGTCAGCCACCAGCTCCGGACCCTCGTAGAATCGCACCCTGAGCGGCGGGGTGGGGCCAGTGAGGCGGGGTTTGGAAGAACCCCGCCCTCTCTGAGACCTCAGGGTTCACACCCAAGATCTCCACTGGGCAAAGAGACCTGTCAGCGTCAGAGTGGGCGGGGCCCCGGCCTAAACGTCACCTTTCAAGAACAGACCCTTTTGATTTCTTGGCAGGGCAGAAGGGTAACGGAGAGAGTAGGGTGAAACCTCCATCTTCTAGGGGAAGACCTACTATGTGAACCCCAGGACCAGGCAGTTAACAAACCCGCTGTCATTCTTATTTACAGAAGAGACCCAGGGCCCCAGAGGGAGTCAGGGCTCAGAAGGAGTGACCAATGACCAGGACTATTTGTGGGGTGGGGCCTCCACCTGATGTAGCCCACTTGGGGCCGGTGCTGCAGGAACCAGCGGTAGGACGTCTTGTCCTTCCAGCCAACGTTGCGGGGGTCTTTCCACAGTAGCCGCACCTGCGATGCTGTGTCCCCCGTGTGCCACAGTGCATTCCTCAGCTGTTCTCCGGGGCCCGTGGACGACTTCACGGCCTGTCACCCCCACCAGGAACAGAGGGAAGGCTTCAGAAACTGTAGGCTGGCAGAGCCCCCTCAAAGCTTGGCAATACTAGGCGGGGCAGGTGGAGATTTGCGGGCTATGGAGGGATGGAAGTCTTAGGGGAACCTGAGGGGGCTTAGGATGGGGAACCTACAGAAGCCTCTTTGGGTGCTTGTGCTGGATCCTGGGGTGACGGTGGCCTGGGGACTCATGGGAGAATTTGGGTGCTCCTGGAATTGTTCAGTATCTAGGAGATTTGGGGGAGGGGTGCTCCAGGAGTGACCATAGAAAGTGGGTCTAGAAGACTTGGAGGATTTGTTGGAGGGTTTCATGAATATATTGGGACTGAGGAAATATTTGGAGTCTAGAGGAAAGCTTGGAGGTTCAACGAGAAGATGTGGAAACCCCAAAAATGGCTGGGAGACCTGGGGTGGTGGTGTTTAATGATTTGTGGAGGACTTGAGAGTCCTGGGATAGCTCTGTAGGATAAGCATTTGGATTGCCAACTGCAAGGTTGGCGGTTCAAACCCACCAGCCACTCCTTGGAAACCCTATGCAAGGTTGCTATGAATCAGAACCAACTCGAAGGCACTTAACAAGATCTGTGGAAGGGTTCTGAGGCCTGGAGAAGGATGCTGCAGACCTTGGGATTCCTATAGGCTTTGGAAACCTGGGGGAGAGGGGAGAAGTAGGGAGTGTTCTGGAGGTGAGGTCCCTAGGGGAGGTCAGGGTGCTGATGGCGGCGGCTGCAGGGAGGTTGGGGGAATTACGAGAAAGTCGGGTGTTTTGGCACTGATGCACCTCCCACCTTGAGCTGGATGCCCGGCTCGGCCACAGCGCGGAATGGATTTGCCTGCCAGTACGTCTGCTCCATCTGCTTCCACATGACCACGTAGAAACTGGAGCTGTCCTGGTACCCGAAGATGAAGCCCGCGTAGTCGTCGTCTGTGGCTGTGTTCACGTGGAACGTGCCCTCAAAGTCCACGCCGTTGAAGGCTGTGTAACCTGGGGAGGGGAAGAGGATCTAGGACTCCCCGACACTGACTCTTCCCTTCGGATCCACGACCTTCCAAGACCCTACAGGGAACCAGAACGGTCCTCTGGGGATCCTGAGCTCAGATACTGCCACATCCTCTGAGCCCGGTCCCGCTTCTCTAGGACTCGAACATTGCCACGCCCCCTGAGCCGGACCTCTCTCCTCACTGCTGACTCTGTCCATGGTCCCCACCTGTCCTGAGTTCCCAGGTACCCTTTTATGGTCCCGCCCCCTAGTGCAGACATGACCCCGCCTCCCACAGGCAGAGCTGACAGCATCTCACCCACAGCCAGGCCAGGGTCGCTGTTCATCGTCTGCACAATCTCCATGCCCTGGTGGTGAGTCAGGAAAGATGGTAGTCAGGTTCTGGCGCGTGGCGCCCTGGGCTCCCCGCCTCCAGCCCCGTTCTCACCTGGTTGAGCACCACCCAGTTGGGATCAATCTGTGCGTCGCCCTCAGGGTCCAGCACAACCGTCTGGAAAGCCCGAAAGTCGGTGAGGGTGACCTCCGCGTTCTCTGGGCACACGTCGATCTTGTCCACCACCTTATCAGCATCAAAGTCGCCCTGGCACGCGTCCCCAACACCATCCCCTAGGAAGGCGCACAAACCCCCATGATGGGCTCACTGCCAGGCCCCACCCACTTGTTCCCAAGCTTGGTCATCACCCAAAGTTTATTCTACACCCATGCTGGTTACGCCTACGTCGGTCACGCCCACACTGGCCACGCCCTTTCACCTCAGGTTCCACTGCTCCATGTCTAGCATAGGTCTCTAGTCCACGACCACCCAAACACTCCACCATGGCTCCATGTCCTACTGTCAGAATCCTCCTGGCCGGGGTTGGGCACCACGCGGCAGTTGTCACGACTGTCCGGGACTCCATCATTGTCGTCGTCATCGTCACAGGCATCACCCTGGCCATCGCGGTCAGAGTCCTGCTGAGCACTGTTGGGCACCGTGGGGCAGTTGTCTCTCGAGTCCTGGTGTCCATCCCCATCCCTAGAGTGGGGGAGACACAAAAAGGCGGTGAGACCCTCAGAGGGTTGTGCCAGGGCTCAAGAGGCATCACCCAACCCTGGGCTTCCAACCCTGCGCAGGACAACCGTCTTACTGGTCTTGGTCGCTGTCACAAGCATCTCCCACAAAGTCGTGGTCCACATCTCTCTGGGGAGATGGAGGCCACAGTCAGGACAAAGGGGTCCTAGAAGCCTACTCCTGTCCCAGCTCAGTGCCCCAGGACTGCCCACACTGTGAAACTTATGTGACAAGAGTTGTTAGTGTCGTCGAGTATGTTCCGACTCATAGGGACCTTGTAAAAAAGGTCCTTGCAAAAGTTTGAAGTGAATGGTCTAATTAAGCTGGGCAACCCATGGATGGAGCACCCCCACCTGGTCAGGATTGGTCTTCTGGGGACAGTTATCACAGGCATCCCCTATGCCGTCACCATCACTATCCTTCTGGTTGGCATTGGGCACTCTGGGGCAGTTGTCCATGGTGTTTCGAATACCTGGGGGGCAAAAGGAGGAGATGCCAGGTCTCAAAGATCAGGATGCGCCAAACTGACATCAGCGGGGCAAGGTCAGACAGCAGGTCAGCTAGGGACAGAACCTTCCTGTCTTTGGCTCCCTAAAGCTGGAAAAATGCATCCAGAACGTGTGCCCGTCCAGCCTCACAGGGATTTAGGATGGCGGTGGGCGGAGGAGGGGATGAGACGTGCAAGGGTCACAGGGCAAGTTAGTGGGTCCTCTCTGGTAGCGTAGTGGTTACGAATCGGGCTGCGAACCTTAAGGTCAGCGGTTCGAAACTACCAGCCGCTCCGCGGGAGAAAGATGAGGCTTTCTACTCCCGTAAAGATTTACACCCTCGGAAACCCTGTACAGGGTCGCTATGGGTCGGAACCGACTCGACGGCACTTAACAACAACAACAACAGCCTGCCACAAAATAACTCCCTGAGCCTCTATTTCTTCATCTGTAAAACCACCGCCTCCCTGGCCCTAAATCCCAGGCTCACCCCTAAACGCCCCCCAGCAGCCTTGGCACAAGGACCACTTCTTCCTTCTCCAGCCCTACTCCCAGGCTCTGCCCTCCTCTGGCCGCTGCTCTCGATCTTATTGGTTGGCTGGGTCCAGCCCTTCCCTACCCAGGAGCGCTCACACCTCCTCCCGCCGCGCCTCGCCCCTCCCCAGGCCCTCTCGGCGCACTCACGGTCGCCGTCAATGTCATCGTCGCAAGCATCGCCCTTGCCATCCTGATCCGTGTCCTTCTGGTCATCATTTTTCTGGGATCGGCAGTTATCACAAGCGTCACCCCACTTATCGCCGTCTGAGTTGCGTTGGTCTGGGTTCCGTACCAGCGGGCAGTTGTCCTGGGGTGGGGTGGGGTCTGTTAAAAGGGTAACCGATGGGGCAAAGGTCACTCTCCTAGAACCTGCTCCCCCGTCTCAGGCCCCACCTCCTCGTTGGGGACCCCATCTCCGTCAGCATCCGGGTCGCAGGCGTCTCCGATGCCGTCGCGGTCCACGTCTTCCTGCCCTGAATTGGGCACGGTGACACAGTTGTCCTGGGGGCACGGGAAAGACGGCGTGAGAGGTGTGGCCACTGAGATCCCCGCCCGCTGCTGCCCGATATGCCCACATCTGGGTGGGGGCCTACTTCTCTGTCCCGCCCCCTGCCTCATCCCGCTCACCTTGCGGCAGTGGCGCTCGGAGCAGCGAAGCTTCTCGTCCGGGAAGCCGTCGAGGTCGGTGTCGCGGCCACAGAGGAGCCCGTTACCTGCCCAGCCGATGGCACACTAAAAGACGGGATTGAGTGGGTGGGCGCCCCCTCCGGGCTGCCCTGGATTCTTTCAAGCCGCCATCCGGTGGCCGTCTGGTCGTCCCATTTCCCCATCCTCCGTCACGTCCCCAGCGATCCTCCGGTCCGAACTCACCACGCACGACCGAGAACCGTCGCGCTCCAAGACACAGTCGGCCTTTTCGTGGCATGGACTAGGCGTACCATCGGGGCAGGAACGCTGAGAACCCCGCTGGCAACCGGACACCTGGTCACCCACGAAGCCTGGCAGGCACGCGCCGCACTGGAAGGAACCCTGTGCCGGGTCGCGGACGGTCAGCGCGAGTTACAGGTTCTTCCATTCTGTCCCATCCCAGTTCCCCCAGCCCCGCGGAACTCACCCGCGTGTTGACGCACACGGAGTTGGGGACGCAGTTATGCTGCCCGGTCTCACACTCGTTAATGTCCGTGCACACCTGGGGTGTGGGGGTCCGGAGATCATTGCCCACTCAGACATCCTCCCTGCCATTCCGTTCTTCGTTCCTTCCTGTGCCCCAGGCCCAAGTATTTGCCTCCCCCCTGTTGCAGCGAGGCTGGGAAGAGAACGGCGACCTTTCTCCTGCTCGCCGCGCCCCTCACCTGCTTGTTGGCCTTGGCGAAAGCCATTCCCACGCCCTCGTGTGCGGTGCCGCTGTACCCCGGCGGGCAGGCCTCGCAGCGGAAACCGGGACTGGTGTTGATGCAGCGGACACGGGGAAAGCAGGGATGGGCGTTACACTGGGGGCGAAGGGGGCGCAGGAGGTCAGAGCGCGGCGCCTCGGGACTTCCCGGGGCTTGAACTCAGAAATCTCAAAAGTCGTCAGTTTACACGTGTAAGGGATCAAGGGGGCAGGCAGGCAGGGGCGCTAAGGGGGTGCGGGGGGTGGGGGTGGGGACAGTTTCCCAAGAGTCAAAGCCGATTTTGCTAAGATGGGGGTGCCGCGCCTGTAGGGGGCTATTCCCTGACAGGGTGGGCTCAGTGTTCAAGAGCGGGGAAAGGGACTGTGGTGGCGGGCGTCCCCAGCGGCAGGAGGGAGTGGTCGTCGCGGTGGCCGGACTCGGCGGTTGAGGGGTGGTCGGGACCGAAGAATCCCGGAGGTGAGAGTGTCGTCAGGACGGACGGCCCCGGGCAGTGAGGTGGATTGTGGGGGCGAAATCATCCCGGAGATAGGGGGTTCATCAGGGGCAGCACCCCCAGGAGGCGAGGGAGATCTTGGAGACCCAATCACCGCCGTAGTGATGCGGTCTTCGGGACGGTCTTCGGGACGGGCTCCCCCGGGTGGTGAAGGGAGTTGTCGGGGCGGATTCAACCGGACAGCAGGAGTATAGTCGTAGGAGATGGCACCCCCAGGCGGTGAGGGGACTCGCTGGGGTTCTGTCCCAGCAGTGGGGTGGTCCTCAAAGCGGGGTTCATCCGCTGTGCGAGCGGGTGCCCCCAGCACTGGAGGTGCGGGCGGTGGAGAAAGGGAATGGGGGCGGGCGCACCTCGTTGATGTCTGCGCAGTGCGAGCCGTTGCCAGTGTAGCCCGCGGGACAGGGGCCGCAGCGCGCGCCGCTCGCCGTCTCCGTGCAAACTACGCCGGGAAAACACGTGCCGGGTGCACAGCGGGGTAGGGGTCGCACGCTCAGACCTGGGGTGCGCGCAGGCTGCATTCCTGGGAGGTAGGGGTGGAAGCGAGGACCGGACGGTCACAGCCACACTCAAGGAGTGGGGCGGTCGGGACCACACGGGGCGGGGCGTGACAGGCAGGACCACGCCCTCCCCAGGGGCTAGGCAGAGCGATGAGGACCACACGCCGGGCGGTCAGCACCATCCAAGTGGGAGTAGGTAGTCAGAACCCTACCTGGGGGCAGGGAAGAGCCCATTTCCACTCTTGGAGTGGAGCCTGCCGAGTCTGTCCCTGTCACTTTTCTGAGCCGCCCATTTTCCGCTTCTTTCCCTCTCTCCTTGGTATGTCTCTCCACTTCCCTGATCTCCGCGCGGTCTCTGTCTCTTACAGTCTCTCTGCCTCTCACCTTCTGTTTCTCCCTCCCTGCCAGTCTCTCCATGTCTCGCAGTCTCCCTCCCGCCTCTCTCCCGCCAGCCCCGAGGCGCTCACCGCACGCATCGCACTCCATCACGGTGTTCTTAAGGAACGTGATCTCCTTGACCTGCGGGAGAGGGGCCAGTCAGTGGGGCCTCCTTCACATCCTCCTTCACAGCATTTCTTGAGCTCCCCAATTTTCCCCTCCCATGCTCCCTTTCCACAGAGCACCTTGGTTCCCCTACCTCCAAGGCTCTCTCCCTCCTCAGGACTCCATGCAACTCCCCTGGCACCCTCACCCCTTCCTCTCACCCCCCCCACTCTCAAGCCCCATCCCATTAGTACAAATCCTTTCCTTCCCTCACCTGGCGCCTTCCCTCGAGCTCTCCTTTCCCTACCCCCGCTCCCCACCCTATCCACAGACCTTCCCCTGTACTACTTTTCCTGCTGCCAGGCCCGGGACTCGTACCTGCTGCCTCAGCAGTTCCCGCACGTCCTGCAGCGCTGCATTGGTCTCTCGAAGCTCGCGAAGCATCTGTGGGGCCAGGTCTGAGCCTGAGACGACAGGGGGCGCTGGTGAGGCATCGGGTTGTGGGAATCCCCGCCGCCCTCAGCGCCACTGGGTGACCTGGAACTCCAACCCCACTCCTCCAAGCCCCAAAACACTGGGCTCCCGCTTCTCCCTCCCCCCGCTCCCCGCCTGCTTTCTCCATCCCTGAGCGTCCCAGCAAACAGTGTGAACCCCCAGGAGACGTGCCCCTGAACTTCCAGCGGGTCCGGATCTCCAACCCTGGGGGCAGGTGGCATGGCGCTGGGCTTTCGAGGCTTACTCAGTGGGATTTGGCCCTGGCCAGATGCGCCAAGGGCTCCGAGGGCGAGCAAGAGAACGCAGGCGGCGGCATGGGCCATGGCGGGCCTCTGAGTCTGTGGCGCGCTCTGTCGCCCACGAGGCCGCAAGGCTTATTTATCCAGCGGCTGGGCACGGCCCACCGGCAGCCTTGCCCAGCCCAAGGTAAACAGAGGGGCGGGCGGGGCGTCGCTGGCCTTTGAGTTAACGTCCTGTCCTCCTGCTGGCAAGGTGGCCCGTGGCTGAACCGAGACACGGAGGGGAAACTGAGTCAGGGAACCTGTGAAAGGGGGTGGTGAGGGCGAGAGTCAGGCTGGTCCACCTCACCAATCGTCCTACTCACTTTTTTATTGAACTCCTGCTGTGTGTCAAAGAAGTTCTGGTGGCCCAGGGGGTTAAGGATTGGACTGCTAAAGGTGGGCGCTTTGAACCTACCAGCAAAAGATGAGACAGTCTACATTTAGAGATTTACAGCCTTGGAAACCCCAGGGAATACTTCTAAGCTGTCTTCTAGGGTCCCTATTGCTCAGACCTGACTAGATGGCAGTGGTTTGGTTTGGTTTTGCCTGTGCTAAGCCTGGGGCACAGCTTGGTGGTCCCTACAAATCACATTTGGTGAAAGAGTCACAGTAAATGATGGGTACTGGCCTTAGCGTCAGACAGACTCACCCTCCACTCCCTCCCTCCTCAATTGCTTCTAAACCAGGCAAATGACCGGATGACACGGCTCGGTTTCTGCTCCATGTTTTAGTCTTCTTAGTGACTGTGATAACGTTAGAGGGAAATGATGAGAACAAGGTCTTCCCATATAGGTACTGGTTTCCCTGAGAGGGCAAGTGAGACCCTTCCCCACTCTGCTGGTCTTTCCCTTCCCTGAAGTTCTCCAGAGGGAGAAGTCTGGCAGCTCAGGTACCCGAAACCCACCCGTATCTGTGCCTCAGTTTCCCAATTTGTGCAACGAGGCATGCATATGTCAGTCCACAATTCAGGGTGAGTGCCCCTCAGGACTCCAGTAAAGGAGGCCCAGAGGGAATCCTTTTTGTCCCAGCTGCACCACAGGCTTCTAAGCTAGGCTTCTGCTGCTATGGGAACAGCCTGCAATAAAAATTAAATTTACTACTAATCAGGAAAATAGCCCCTTCCAGATCAGCAGCGCTTTTGAGCTCCCACAAAACACCTTGGCTTCCTGGAGTCAGTTAACCCTCTCCATTCCCACCATCCAGCACTCATCACCTCTGGTCTATAGTCAGGAGGTTTAGAGAGGGAAAATATGCAACTTATGACCAGTTCATGGGCCAGGGGTAAAGCTAAAGACGTAACCAGATCTGTCCTCCAGAGGCTGCAGTAAAGTCCCCGAGGGCTTCCTGGAACCTATGGCAATGGAGACAAAAAGGAAAGGGAGGACTCAGGTCTGCAGAAGAAAAAGATCCGGACAGAAGGAAGAGCCTGGGTGAGGGCTTCGGTGGGTGAACATTTCTGACACATTCCTATTTTTCATAGGTGTGTCTTGAGCGTCTACTATGTGTAATGGCCCACAGTTACATCTTGTGTAATGCACTTATCCATCTTGACCTCTTCCATTGGAACTCGGGACAGAGTATGAATAAAAGCCCTTCCTTCTCAGGGCACCCCATCTGATGGAGAGGGAGCTCCAGAACCAGACAGAGACAGCAGAGCCTTCATGGTGGATTCACAGGCAGCAGTAAGAGACCCGATGAGGTGCCTGATCCAACCCAGAGGAGGTGGACAGTCAGGGTGGACTCCCCAGAGGAGGAGGGACTATTAACACAGGAACTTGAAAGATATGAAAGACATGCCAAGCAGAGAGATGGTGGGAAGGTGTTCCAGGTTGAGAGATCAGCAGAAGCCAAGGCCCTGAGAGAAGAATTTAAGCCGAAAGATGTCAGGAGTGCATTGCAGCTAATTGATGGACAAAGCCCAAGTGTCCATCAAGAAAGTAACGCAAGAATGTATAAACACAATATTGTCCATCCAAGGAATGTTACTCAGCCATAAAGATAACTGAAGTCCGGATACGTTCTACAACATGACTAACCTCAAAAACATGCTGAGCAAAAGAAGCCAGACACCAAAGGACAGATACTATATAATCCCACTAAGTAGAATAAGGAGCTCTGGTAGAGTAGTGGTTACAAGTCAGGCTGCTAACCTCAAGGTCAGCAGTTCGAAACCACCAGCTCTTCTGCGGGAGAAAGATAAGGCTTTCTGCTCCTATAAAGATTTACAGCCTCAGAAACCCTAGACAGGGTTGTTATGAGTTGGAAACGACTCCATGGCACACCATCACCACCATGGAGCGTTATTACTTAAGGAGGCACTGAATTTCGGTTTATTGTTGTTAGGTGCAGTCAGTTGGTTCGGACTCATAGCAACCCCATATACAACCGAACAAAACACTGCTCTATCCTGTGTCATCCTCACCATCATTGTTACGCTTGAGTCCATTGCTGCTGCCACTGTGCCAATCCATAGTGATAAAGGGGTCTTCTTCTTTTTCACAGACCCTCCACTTGACCAAACATAATGTCCTTCTCCAGGCACTGGTCCCTCCTGACAACATATCCAAAGTATAAAAGACTAGGAAGTCTTGCCATCCTAGTTTCTAAGGAGCATCTGGCTGTACGTCTTCCAACACACACAGATTGGTTTGTTCTTCTGGCAGTTCATGGTACTTTTAATATTCGTCTCCAACACTCAAACGCATCAATTCTTCTATGGTCTTCCTTATTTACTGTCCAACTTTCACATGTTTGTGTTGTTGTTGTGAAGCGCCGTCGAGTCGCTTCCAACCCGTAGCGACCCTGTATAGGGTTTTCAAGGAGCAGCTGGTGAGCTTGAACCGCCGAACTTGCAGTTCAAACGGCTTTGCAGTCTGGCGCATTAACCCACATGTTTAGGGGAATAAAAAAAACCCTGAAAATGGATATTTGGGATGGTTGTATAACAAGTTGAATATAGTTAATGTTACTTAATTGTACATTTAAAATGGTGAAAATGCCTCTGAAGACAGGTCTAGTGATCAAAGGTCTACTCTGCACACGTGGGATGCTATGAACCAAAATGGACTCAGTGGAAATTAATAATAACAACAAAAAGGTATTTGAAAAATGATTATTAAAGTGGCCAAAGTTTTGTTTCATCTATTTACTTGAATCTTTTTCAAAAAGAGTGTGGCGAGGGCTTGGAGTTTAGGGAAAGGCCTGTGGTATGGGGGCTCAGGCTGTCTTCTGGGGGAACTGGGGTGCCATGGAGGTCGAGTGACCAGGGCTGCATGGGAAGCAGGGTGGATGCAGCCAGCCCCAGCCTGGTCACTTCCTGCAGAGCCTGTGCTCCAACAGCACTTGCTCTGCCTGCTGCCTCCAGCAGGCCCCGCGGTCCCGCAGGCCCTTGAGCTCCGCTTCTGTTTTCCTTGGCTTCTAACTCACTTGGGGCTGTTCCTCCGCCTGCGCTGAATTTCTTGGGAAAACCACTGCTCAAGACAGGACTGGCGTGTGGTTCATGTAGCTGGGACAAGCGCACATGGAAGCCAGGCCCTTGCCACAGGCACAGCACAAGGCTCAGGTTCTAACACACGTGGTCAGCCATGGGGAAATGTGGGGAAGGGCATTCCAGGCAGAGGAACAGCAAAAGTGGAGGCCCTGAGGATGCTCCAGTGTGTATATCAGGTTCCTGCTCCTGAATCCCATCAATCACTGGTCTTAAAACCCCCTGTCCAGCAACAAGGCTTCTTCTCTGGTCCATACTATATCAGCCTCATGTTAGACAATAGCTCCCACTAGGCGTCCTTCCGTGCCTGTGTGCATACCCCTCTTCATTCTTCAAGTCCCCACTTCAAGCCTTTTCCACCTGGTTCCTCTGGTGCCCTTGTGACTAGTCCTCTGAGGTCTCTTGGTGGCCCCTAACCAAGTGTTCCTGGTAGAAAAGGTTGGGATGGGGTGATCCTCCAGCTCAACCCTGTGTCTGCTCTGTCCCTCCCACCTTGGGGCCCTTGGGAAGGTGAGCCATGATCCACAGTGTAATATGATCATCATTCCTTACACTGAATATAACATTGTTACTGTTAATAAGGAGTCCTGGTCTGGCACTATAGGGTAATGCACTGGACTGCAAGGTCTATTTGAACCGCAAGGTTGGCGGTTCAAATTTACCAGCTGTTCCTTGGAAACCCTATACAGGGTCGCTATGAGTCGGAACCAACGGACTCAACGGCAGTTAACAACAACAGCACTGTTAATAAGAATAATATGTCACCATTGTGCTTTACATATAGCATTCAACCCCCACACGGACCACACCACCTGGGTTTGAATCCAGCCAGGCATAGCCTTGCTGTGTGATCTAGGGCAAGTTGCTTGACCTCTCTGTGTCACTACAGTTTGCTCACCTATATAATTGGGTGATAATTGTAGAGAGGATTAAGAGTGTTAACATTTTTGAAGTACTTAGTCCAGTATTAGCCTCATTATAAACATGTAACTTATTGGTTATGAATTGGGCTGCTAACCTCAGGGTCAGCTGTTCAATACTACCAGCTGTTCCGTGGGAGAAAGATGAGGCTCTCTGTTCCCGTAAAGAGTTGCAGCCTTGGAAACCCTGTACAGGGTCTCGATTCCACGGCACATAACAACAATAACATGAAGCCTTAGGATCCTTGGGTGGCACAAATGATTATGTGCTTGACTACTAGCACAAAGGCTGGCAGTTTGAGCCCACTCAGAAGTGCCTCTGAGCATAGGCCTAGATATCTGCTTTTGAAAGATCACAGCTGTTGAAAATCCTATGGAACTGTTTCCTCGGTACACATGGGGTCTTTATGCGTAAAGTCAATGGACAACAAACAACAATACTTTACACCTTGGATTATTTGCATACTCATTTTATTCAGAGAGGACACAAAGGCACAAGATATCAGCCTGGATTTGAACCCAGAATACAGGACCCCCCCCTAATCTTTGGCTGTGGAATCCAGGTAGGAGATGCTGCCTGAATCCCTCATTAGCCCAGAAGCCTGTGCTGCCTGGGGGCCTCCTGGCCTGACCCT